AAATTTGGCTATATGTGCAAAATTTTATCTAATTTTGAAAAATCAAATTAGCTCTGAGGGTTAGTGGGACCGTTTTTGTAAAAAGTGGAATTACTGAAGCTCCTTTATACGCGTGGTCGAGTGGTCTAAGACTGTCAATTTGGCGCTGGAGAAAGAGTTGTTGGTTTCAATTGGGTGGACAGCTTAAATATTTTATTGGGCATTGACCATAACACTTGACCAAGCTTTCAATGAGAATCTAGCTCATTTTAAGTCTGTCTTGGTGATTTGTATCCAGGATTTCCGATCAAAATCAAACACTCCTGTGATCTGATAGATACAGGCCATACATGATGTTCTGAAAAACGAAGAAGATGTCCTTTCGATAAGAACAGCATTTTCAAAACATGAAAAAAAGGAAACCAAATTAGGGTGGCCAATTTGTGCGACTTGAGCGGCTGCTGTGATTGCAAGGCTGGCCAATCAGGTTTCTGTACCTTCTACAAACTTCTGTGTCGACCATTAAATCCTTTTATCATTTTGACATGAACATCGAGTTACGGCTGTGACAGCAAATTCCATTTCTCGAATCAGTCTCGATTGTTACCTCTTTTAACATCTCATTTTAGCTATGTTCCCTATCAATGACGGTTACTTTGTCCTTCACTCGCCCCGTCATTACGCCATCTCTCACCGTGATTTCAGCAAATCCAATAAATTTCAGTCAAACGGAGATTCTCATATTTGGTGTAAGATGAGATGGTTATCGTTGCTTGTTAACTGCCAATTCTAGCACATTTATTTTTTTTCTCTCTATCTTTCATCTTGTTTTACATGCAAATAACTTTGTTCTTCGATGTCTCGCTATATCGTCTCCAGAGTGGAAAATTCGAGTTCGACGAATATTTTCTGTATGAAAAGAAATCAATTTTGAAAAATGTTCATTTTTTAGTTGCTTTTCACGAACACATTTCTTTTGGTGATCACAATCGTCTTTTACATTGATTATTTGGTGATTCCTTATCAAATACAGGAAAATAATAAGGTAACTATATTTATATTAAAAATTTTTAGATCAAAATACAATTAAACAATTTTTAGAACAAATCTTCAATTGATGGCTCCGTTCTTTTCAACGATTCAAATTTTCCCCTGACACTTGCATTAATCGGACTTCTCCTGGTCTTCGGGATGAGGTTGATCTTTTAAAGAACTTAAAGTCCGTGTCGAGCTCGTACTTCAAACTAAAAATACGATCAACTAATTTGCTAGGTAATACTGGAGGAACTTAAATTATCTCAAAGTTAAGCTTTTAGTTGGGTCATTGTTATTGTAACTCTTTTATACAAACTTCCTCATCTCGGGCCTTCACTGAGTATCAAAATACAAACGATGCATCAACAATTATTACGAGTTTCGTTAGTTCAGGTACATAAGTGGATTCTCGGATGATACTTATTCGGTACTCCGGAGAAGAACTGCATTTCTTTCTAATAATTTCCAATTGCAAAAATTTTTCTTTAAAAGAATCAAATTAATCAAAATAACAACCGTTAGAATCCATACACTTTTGCCAAAGAGTAGCCAGTTTTTCGATCCGTGCAGGAAAGTCGGGCTGTCTAGAGGCGATGAAGTTGATAGAATTTTTTACCTTTGTTTCTTCCTTGAAAATTTTATCTCGACCTCTAGGTTTCAAAAAAAGGACCAAACCGACCGACTTTGTGTTCACAAATCTATTCGATAATCTTAGTAGGGAATTTTGTTAAATCAAGATTGAGTTTTCACATGCGCTTTGGCCCATCTGATAGACTTTTCAGGAAGGGTTCCAGTAAACCTAAAAGCAGATTCAGAATTCCAGATGAAAACTCTATCAGATGGGCCAAAGCTGATGTGAAAACTAGATCTTGACTTGACAACGATAGACTTTTCATCAAGGATTCTGAATCTGCTTTTAGTTTTTTTCGAAACGCTTTTGTGGCCAGAAGACAGAAGGTAATGGTAAGAACAAGTAATCAGTCAGGCTTGTAAATCAGCCGAAAAAAAGCGAACTTTTGTATGCCAATTATTTGGTGTTACAGAAGCGTTCCGGTAAAACTAAAAGCAGATTCAGAGTCCCCGATGAAAAGTCTATCAGATGGGCCAAGGCTCATGTGAAAACTAGCTCTTGACTTGACGAAATTCCTTAGTTAAAACCTCACTTAAAGCAATTGTAAAAAAAGTGTCAGTAAAATCTCTAGCTATTCTTTTTGGGGACAATATCTTTTCTACCTTGGATTATAATCGCTTTATCAACACTTGTTCAAGATAAACAAACAAGTAAGTATTTAAAACTCCTATTTGTACGCTTTCCTTTTCAGAAGAAATTTTATCCAATGCAATAATGATAACCACTTTGCATTCTTCCGGCAATTGTTTTATCGTTCTTTTTGTGACAAAATACTATCGAGATCTTTTCATTAAACTTTATCAGGTATCAGGAATAGAAAACAAATGAGGCATTGACAACAGGATGGTTAGATTATTTCGTTTTCAGCGTCTCAAAAAACGATTCATATCACGAATTGGAGATTCTATGATAGTTAAACCGCAACAACGAAAACCAGCTGTTATTCGATCTGATCAATAATGAAAAGAACGAAATTTTGTCTTATTACAATTAAATATTTATAAAATACTAATCTGAACTGCATTTTCAAGCACAATCTTTCCCAGTACCCTTCAGCGTCTCAAAAAACGATTCATATCACGAATTGGAGATTCCGCTGCGTTTCGCACAACAACGAAAGCCTTATGTCATTCGACCTGATAAACAATAAAAATACCAAATTTTTTGTGCTTTATCTGGTAGCTAACAATTCGATGTCTATAGAATCTTAATTTAAACTTCATGTTCAAGCGCATCATTTTTCATCTCCTTAAAAGATATATCCTTTGGTGATCAAGTTTTTCATTGGTTGAAAAAGTGGTTCGAAAATCCGAGTTTGAATTGATATGCGCCGTGAATCAAACTATTTTCAACTCACGGATTATGCTTGGGGAAGAGCTTTCTCTGGTCATCGACTGATTGTTGAAGCACCAAATCAAAAGATACGAGAAAAACGAAAGAACATTTCTTTGAAGGGATGTTTCTATTGATCTTCTTTTTCATTGTGGCTTCACTGCAACAGATTGAGATTGAAAAATCCGTTAAATCAACGACTAATTTTCTGGTTGGCTATTACAATATAACTCCTCAACCGCCAAATCCACCACAACCGTCATTCAGTTCAGATTGTCACAGTAATCGGTTCTTTGTATTTGAAATATTAAGCAAATCTAGACTTAGGTTAGGTCTTGGTTAGCCATTCTAAACGAATCTCTGATACTTTTGATCACTTAAACCGCTTGAATTTAACTCTGATTTTGTAAAATCTCTACAAAAGCCAAATCCAATGGCTTACAATTGGCCTTGACCTAGAGTTTCAACCTGGCTGTTGGATTTAGTCTAATTTGCCTTAACTCTTTGCTCTAGCTTGACTTATTTTCAGGGTATGCCGTCCGTCTGTCTGCCCGTCTGTCGGTGCGTGTGTCCGTCCGTCTGACTGTTCGTCCTTCACACTCTGGATCTCGGCTCCACATAAACCGATTTCGATAAACTTTTTTTGATCGATGGAGAATTAAAAATGAAATGGTACATACTTTTTGGTCAAAACAAGTTTTTGATCAAAAGCCCATGAAAAAGTCAGAAAAACCACTTAGGCACGCTCCTTCTTAGCAGAAAAACCATTTAGCACGCTCCACAATTTTTTCTTTGTCCCGAGTTGACAAATATTGTCCAGACATCTAAAAAAATAATTTTTTGTTATATAAAAAGAAAATATTGGGTTGGGGAGAATGAGTCGGCGCCGAAAATGAAAAAAAATGTCTAAAACTTCTATTCGACTTTGTCAAATAATATGCGTTTGATATCAGTAGAATGGTTAACTAATTCTCTACAAAATCACATTTAAAAGAAAATTGAAACAGCGCCTCCGCTCAAGAAAAAGCCATTTTTTTTCACAAAAACTACAAACTGTGATCTAGAAAAAACCATTGGTGGGATCTTCCTGCAAATTTGGCAACTTAAGTAATTGAATGTGCTCTATCTTTTTTATATAAACACCAAAGAAGGTTTATGTGAAAGAAACTGTTCAAATGATGAGTCGGACTCTTTGCCATTTTAACCAGCTGCGTTTGGAAGTTCATAAACTCCACGAAAGAAAAGCTTTGTGGAATCTCTCAAAAGTGATTTTGTAGAGAAATAGTGAATCCTTTTGATGAAACCAAACGTATGTTTAAAGAAGGCTTTATGTGTGCAAAAAGTCCCTTTAAAGTTCGGCGCCGACTCATTCTCCCCAACCCAATAAAAACAAAAAAAGCAAAATACTTCAAATGTTACAAGACTTTTGAGCATCAAAAATACGCCCGTTTTTTGTTTTTATTTGTTTTTCTTAATTTTTGTTAATTGTTTCAATAAGGTTGTTCTTGCATACAAAAATAGAAATTTTTGACAACTGAAAACCAGAAGCTGTTTGGGAATTCGCCTCTTAGCAAAAAAGTTATTACACTTTGAAATTTGCTAAACTGGATGTTACAAGACTTTTGTGCATGACTGTACTTATTCAATTGATGCACACATTACACCAACTTTAACCAAGGACTTTTAAAATCCCAGACAAAACTTTGAGCGTTTATAACTTTTGCCAGAGTGCTCCATAGCAAAAACGGAAAGCAAATTCGGAAACAGGGCAAATTCTGCCTCATATAACCATATGGCTCATGTCATTTTGTGACCCTTGTGACCTTCGCTTGTCAATTTTTGCATGTGTTACACCAAAAGACTCACTTTTTGACGGCTAAAGTTTATTGTAAATCACTTCAAATCATTGAACTTACTATGTATACAAATTAGCATTGAAAAACATCACAAACACAAACAATTAAAAAGCGAAAGTCAATTTTTTTTACAGAGCTGCTTTTATTGAGATCCAGATTGCACGTTATTGAATAAGCTCTCGGTGATGTTTGTCCACCGGTTGTTTGTCTACTAAAAATTTCACAATTTCTTGGCCTAAAGCATCAGCATTTGGTTCAACTTCATCCTAAAATGGAAATCGACATTCTTTAAGAGCTAAAGCTCACCCTGACAAGTTTTCCTTCTTGGTACTCGATGTCGGAGGCATGAGTGCGGTTGGAGCCGAGTTGCTCCATGGCAAGTTGACGATCTCTGGAATTTGCGTTTATTCACAAAACTTCATGGTGATTGCTTTCAGTAGATAATTCAAGTAGTAGCATTTTTTTAAGCAGGTATTCTCGAACTATGGTTTTGTATAGAACTTGTAAACTAGACTAGAAAGTTAGCACCGTAAAAGCTCTAATAGAAGCACCCCTATAGGAGCGTCGCGTAGTCTAAGTTTGCTCTCAAACAAACGCTCATATCTCAGCACCAGTATGTTTGTTTTTGCGCGCCTAAGTATCAAATTAAAGTAGAGAGGATGGATGATTTTTGAGATGTAACAAATATTTTTAGCATTAACCAGCGCTGAGAGAAAATGATTGAAAAGTGGCGAAAATCGGCTTTTTTTTGCCACTTTTCAATCATTTTCTCTCAGCGCTGGTTAATGCTAAAAATATGCCTTATACCTCAAAAAATCACCCATCCTCTCTACTTTAATTGGATACCCAAGCGCGCAGAAACAAATGTCTGCGCGTCGAGCTATGAGCGGTTTTTTGAGTGTAAACTTAGACTACACGACGCTCCTATAGTGGGTGCTTCTACTAGAGCTTTTACGGTATAATATTTCACAATCAGACGCTTATTCCCATTATAGTTAAGTTTCCTACAAAACTTAACATCCATATTTCACTTTTTTCATATAAGTTTTAAAGTTCTTCCTTTTTTTCATGCCTGAATTTCTATGAAGTTTGACAACTGTAAAAAGACTTCACTGTACCAAACTCCTTGCAATTTCAAGGACTAGAGCTAACTTTTATACTGGTTTTAAGATTGTTTGGACTTTTGTTAGTGCTATTTTTTTACCGTATTTCAAATACTCACCTGACATATTTGTAGAAGTTGAGAGTGATCCATCCGCGGAGATAAATGAAGATGAGGAAAGCGAAGGCAATAAGGAATGTGTCTGGAATGGGAAATGAGTCAATTAATCAGATAAGTTTATTGAAGCAGGACAAAAAGAGATAAATTTTGAATAACTTTGAAAACTCACGGCGCAAATTCTTGCCGGTATGTGGCTCAGCGGCGCGGGGGTAGTCAGTAACGGGAACACGTGGGAGATCCGAAGAGAGACTGAAAGGAGTGCAATAAAAAGAGTCGATTTTTGGATCTAGGTAGCTTTATGAGCTTTATGATACGATAAAGATTAAGCTAAATCAAAAACTCACTGATCATTATCGGTCACATAGAGGATGTAGTAGGTGAGGATTGAGAACGTGAGGAAAAGGAGCTGAAGGATCTGGAAGCGTGGATTTATTAGTGATTTTAGACTAATATTGGCTCTACTAGTGATGTGGTCTTTTAAGTTTGAGTATTTTCTAGAATTCTTAGAATTTCTAGAGTTCTAGAATAAAATGTCAATGTCTTTTCAGAATTCAATTTGAAATCTTCACTTTATTTGGGGTCAGGGCTATTCCTAAGCAAATTTTTGGCTTGGTGAATCAATTTAGACTGTCAAATGAATTCTTATTCCTGACTTGGCTTGTCATTAAGTCTTTTTAGAGTAATTGTGTCAACTCACAATCTACAGATTAAGGCTAGGAGAGATCTACAGATTAAGGCTAGGAGAGATCCCAGACCTAGGAAAAGTTCCAAGACTGGAAAAACTTTTAAAGTTTACGATCAATGGAAAAGAAATCTTAAATCTTAATCTTAAACCTTAAAACCTTTGCTTTCAAAACTCACGCAAATGATTCCGTAGGCTTGCATGAAGAGTGGCTTGAGTGTGATAAGTGAGAGGATGCCGAGGAGCATGATTGGGAGTGAGACGCCGAAGATGATTCCCTAAAATTTCGAAATACATCTAAGAAATTTGAATCAAAAGATGAAACTTAAAATATTTTTACTTACCAATGGCATACGGGCATCTTGAGTTCCAAGGAAAATCGAGGCACCCAAAAAGATCAGAAAGACCGCGTCGAGAACGAGAAATACAGCAATTCCGATCTAAAGAGGTAAAGATATATCTAAAGAATTAAAATCTGCAAAGTCTCAGATAAAGATATGAATATCTATCTTAAGATAAAGATATGTCTAAAGAATTAAAAGCTGAATCTTTTTCTAACCTTAGCTTTTCCCATCTTGCAACAGCAATGATAGTTCTCCTCTCGAATCAGGGTTCTTGGATGGATGTGCTTTGGACGCCAACACCACATTTTTCTTCGTTTTTTTTTGAGTCGCTAAAGATGAGCATTATAAATTAATGGTTGGTCAGAAGGAAACCAGGAAATGAGAGAGATAAATTACCAATTGATTTAGATTGATAAGATGATCAAAGGAAGAACTCAAAGCAATTGAAACTTTGAAGAAATTGGTATAGTAATGCTTAAACTAGTGAAAGTCTCATTATTACCAGTGATCCTTCAGTAAACTTCAATAACAGTAAATTGTAACAGCAAATAGTAACTTAACAATAAATAACTTCTAACTAATCCCAACTTCAAGCTGGCTTTCGGTGTTCTTCTTTATGAAATGTACTCATTTGGCAAGACACCGTTCAATTCAATAAACCAAGAGGAAGTGCTTCCACATTAGAAAACAGGGAATCTTTTACGTTGATTCCTTATCAAATACACGAAAATAATAGGGTAACTTCATTTACCTTAAAAATTTTAGAGAAAAATATAATTAAACAATTCTTAGATAAAATCAATTCAATTGATTGCTCTGTTCTTCTAAACGATTCAAATTTCCCCCTGTCACTTGCATCAATCGAACTTCTCGGGGTCTTTGTGATGAGGTTGATCATTTAAATTCCTCTTAAACTTAAGTCGTCTCAAAGTTAAGCTTTTAGTTGGGCCATTGTTATTTTAACTCTTTTATACAAGCTTCCTCATCTCGGGCCTCCTCTGGGTATCAAAATAGAAACGATGCATCAACAATTATTACGAGTTTCGTTAGTTCAGGTACATGAGTGGATTCTCGGATGATATTTATTAGGTACTCGCTATTAGGTGCTTGCTCTACGACTTCAAACAAGGAAAAAGTGTCCGGGAGAGCCATAGTTCAATCTTTAAAGTTTTTGGAGAAGCTGCTTACTCGGCAGAAGCTTGTAAAAAATGGTTTCAACGATTTAGAGAGGAAGGCGAAACTCTACAGGATCGAGGACGTGGTCACCCCCCCTCCAGCGCTCAACGATGACGATCTTCGAGAAGCCATAGAAGATGACCCAACCTTGTCGACTCGGGAACTTACAACAATGTTTGCTGTAGACCACACAACAATTGTGGACCATTTACTTCGTTTGGGTAAAGCGAATCTCGTCGGAAAATGGGTACGCCAACAGCTTAGTGACGTTAATAAAGCTACTCGAGTGACTATGGCCGGTATTCTTCTTCGTCAATCAAAAAATTGAGGTTTTTGGGACACTATTGTGATGACCGATGAAAAAATGGATTTACGACGATAACCCATCGCGAAAACGGCAGTGGTGAAGTCCGGGAGAACAGTCAAAAACGACGTCACAACGTAATCCGCATGGAAGAAAGGCTATGTTATCTGTTTGGTGGAATTCCCCTGGTCTTATGCACTTTGAGGTGCTACCTTCTCGTCCAACGCTCACCTCAGATCTATATGTGCAATAGCTGGAACGAGCAGATCAGGCTCTTAAGAATCAAGGTGTAAACACATCGACTGTGAGATGTCTGCAAAATAATGCGCGCCCACACACAGCAAAGAAGATGCAGGAAAAACTCGAGGAATTGGGTTGGGAATGTCTATCGCATCCGCCGTATAGTCCAGATCTGGATCCGTAGAGTAATTTTCTAACCACTTTTTCAACCAAGGACAAACTAGATCACCAAAGGATATATCTTTTAAGGATCCTGAAAAATAATGCGCTTGAACATGCAGTTTAAATTAAGATTTTATAGACATCGAATTGCTATCTATAAGATAAAGCACAAAAAATTTGATATTTTCATTTTTCATCAGGTCGAATGACATAAGGCTTTCGTTGTTGTGCGAAACGCAGTGGAATCTCCAATTCGTGAGATGAATCGTTTTTTGAGATGCTGAAAAATAATCTAATCATATTGTTGTCAATGTTCCATTCTTTTTCTATTCACTTGCCTGATGAAGTTTAATGAAAAGATCTCGATAGTATTTTGTCACAAAAAGAACGATGAGACAATTGCCGGAAGAATGCAAAGTGGTTATCATTAGTGCATAGGAAAAAAATTTGTCTGAAAAGGAAACCGTTTAAATAGGAGTTTTAAACACTTACTTGTTTGCTTATCTTGAACAAGTGTTGAGAAAGCCATTATAATCAAAGGTAGAACACATATTGTCGCCAAAAAGGTCATCTAGATATTTTTAATGACACTTTTTTTACAATTCATTTAAGTGAGGATTTAGCTAGGGAATTCTGTCAAGTCAAGCTCGAGTTTTCACATGAGCCTTGACCCATCTGAAAGAGTTTTCATCGGGGTTTCTGAATCTGCTTTTAGTTTTACTATAACACTTCTGTAACACGAGATATTTGGCAATTGGAAATCATTAAAAAAAATGCAGTTATTCTCCTGAGTAGCTAATAAATCTGATACGAGAATCCACTCATGTACCTGAACAAACGAAACTCGTAATAATTGTTGATGCATCGTTTGCAATTTGACACCCAGAGGAGGCCCCAGATGAGGAAGTTTGTATAAAAGAGTTAAAACAACAAGGCTCCAACTAAAAGCTTAACTGGAGACAATTTAAGTTACTCCGGCATTACTTAACAAATAAGTCGAACATATTTTTAATTTAAACAATGCGCTCCGCACGGACTTTAATCTATTTAAAAGATCAACCTCATCGTAAAGACCAGGAGAAGTCCGAGTAATGCAAGTGTCAGGAGAAAATTTGAATCGTTTATAAGAACAGAGAAATCAATTGAAGAATTGATCTAAGAATTGTTTAATTATATTTTTCTTTAAAATTTTTAAGGTAAATAAAGTTACCGTATTATTTTCGTGTATTTGATAAGGAATCACCAAATAATCAACGTAAAAGATGAATGTGATCACCAAGAGAGATACGCTCGTGTAAAAAACCAAAAAAAAAATAATATTTTTCAAAATTGACTTCTTTTCATACCGAAAATATTCGTCGAACTCGAATTTTCCATTCTGAAGACGATATAGCGAGACATCGAAGAAAAAAGTTATACGAATGTAAAAGAAGATGAAAGAAATAGAGAAATGCATAAATGTGCTAGAATTTGCAGTTGATAAGAAACAATTACCATCTCATCTTACAAAAAATATGAGAATCGCCTTTTGATTGAAATTGATTGAACTTGCTGAAATGATGGTGAAAGATGGGATAATAACGGGGCAAGCGAAGGACAAAGTAATCGTCATTGACAGGGAACATAACTAAAATGAGATGTTAAAGGGGGTAACAATCGAGGCTGTTTGCAAGTGAGAAACTTTTATCACCGACTATTATTAACTATTATTTTTCTTTTTCTTTGATCCTTTTTATATCAAAAAGGGCAGAAACAAATCGGCTGATTGATTTCCTGCCATATTCGGCAACATTTTGTTGATGAACATCTCCTGCTGCGGCAGACAGGTTTGAACGAGTCAACTGGCAAGCCACTCCCCTCGCAGAAAATTAGATGATTCCTTATTTAACTTTTCTTTCCAGATGAACGATGATGAAGCTATTGAGGATGATAAACTGAGCTAGGTTCTCCTCGAAAGCTTGGTAAAGTGTCATTGTCAATGCCCAATAAAATATTTAAGCTGTCCACCCAATTGAATTCAACAACCCTTTCTCCAGGGCCAGATTGACCGTCTCTCCCTCTCTCTCTTATAATAAGTAACGATCAAAACTATCATTTACTTACAATGATTGCAATTTGAATGATTCTGAAAGTTTTAATATGATCTGGAGCTTTCACACAACAGAATATACCAATAGTGAGTGAGCAAATAAGCCCATCGATTGGAAATGGAATTAAATAAAGAGTCTCGAGAATTAAATATTCTGACATTTGAGTCTGATAGTGGGAAGAGTGAATGTGACTGTTTGTGAACCCAAAAAGTAGAGTGGACGAATTGGAAATAAAAATGGAAACAGGTGCTTTTTGAGAGCCAGGAGACAGCTGTAAATTTTAAGAAATAGTTTTTAGCCTGTAATGAACATCTGTTAAACCTTACTGTTTATAATACCATAATTTTAGGATACGATCACCTATCATGCTCCTGGTTACATCACTTATTGTTGTCAAGGTGAGTTTTGTAACTTTTTTCCATAGCTTTTTCTTGATCTTTTCGTTTTTATTTCGGCTTAATTTTTTTAGATTTGGTTTATTATAAATAAGTATTATTTTATTTTCAAGTCAGATCAAGTTTTTAAAGATGCGTATGGGATATAGCGGTACAAACCAATTTTTGGAATTTACAGTGTATTGTAGTAATAAAAAATGGCCTACCTCATTCTTTAGAGTCAACTCTGTAATTAGTTTTGATAAATCGTTGAATGAAACTGAATTCGAAGTCTTTATTCATAACTTTTTTCTATTTATGATTAAATGAAAGCACCAGATTGTTGAATGATTTCTGGCCATTTAAACAGTTTCGATCTTTACTTCTGTTTCTCGTCTCGGCTCAGAGCGATAATAGTTCTTACTAAATTTTTACAAATTCTTTGATGCCTATTTACCAAATTGCCTGAAATGCAAATACCCGTAACATTCAGAATTATCTTCCATCTCTTTATAGAGACTTTGCCGAATTTTTGAAAACTCCGGTCGATCGTTTGGCTCTTCTTTCCAATAATCACCACGAATCGAGCTCCTAAACGTTTGATATTCACAAATTTCTAACCAGTTTACAGGAGAGATGGAGCCGCCTCAGGGATTTCGAAAAGTTTCGCTATTTTCAAATGTGGAAGCACTTCCTCTTGGTTTATGGAATGGAACCGAGTCTTGCCGAATGAGTATATTTCATAAAGAAGAACACCGAAAGACCAGCTGGAAGTTGGGGTTAGTTAGGAGTTATTTAAAAAAACATTTATGTTTTGTGATCTTATGTTTTTTTCGGTGAATTTCTAAAGTGTTGACTCGATTGAGGATGTTTGTTGGGAAAAATGAAACTCACTGGGAGTATTAAAACTATTTTAGGGCAGACTGTGGCTCAATGATCGAGAATGATCGAGACTAATG